CAGCTGAAAGAAAACTTAAAAAGACCATAAAACACCCATTAAAGGAGTAAAACATAAACCAACAGCTTGGTACTTCAAGGAGCTGCAGGTATTTCTGTTCTTGTTGGCGGATGACAGAATCCAGAGGGAGCGAGAACAAATGGATCCAATTTACGAGCTCTGATCAGCAGAGGGTGAAGTGGACCACAGCACTTTTGGAAACCGTGGCAGAACATTGCGTTTTGTGATTATATTTCTCTGGTTTGCCCATTGCTGTGTTGTGTTTGCCTTGGATAGAAAATAACGTTGCAGAAGTTTTGGGTGGCCGTGCTACGATGATCCCGCCCACATCGAGATCACCAAGATCTTTTTGTTTTATTCAACCTTTATTTATACAGGTTGGTCCCATTGAGCCTCGGGGACTCATTTACAAGAGAGACCTGAAGATCTTGAAGACTCGTGTAAGGTCAAAGCAAGTTGTGGTGAGATTAGACAATAGAAAAATGGCAGGACACAGTGAGAAGACAGTCTTGAGCGGGCAACATGCCACGGTGTTTACAGTGATCCATCAGCTGCACGACTGAAAATCCAAAAATCTCTTCCAAAACAGCACAGGAAACGTTTTCTCTGAAAACTAGTTCTTTTTGATGGGATTCCCCTCTTGACCCTTTGCAAGAACAAACTATACGACACAACTCAAAGCACAAAACATTAGTTTAAACTTTGATCAATGTCAACTACTCAGTGGTGCGTTGGGCTGTCAGCTGGTGGTTAACCATCACTGAACTATCACTAACGACGATGCCGATAATACCGAGCCTTTCCCTTGAGGCTGGCACCATGTGCGGTGACTAAGTGCAACAGAGATTAGGGATTTTGTGCCATTTAGAGTAAACATTTGAGTCACATGTCACAAGACCTGAAGTCTGTGCTGTTTAAGGGCATTAGTGAAGCTAAACGTATCACGCTTGCAGCTATCTGACCAATGGGTTGGTGTCCTGAATGTTCAGAAGGCGCGTGGTGTGTGGAAAAATCAGTCCGATAACGTACACAGAGACTGGGGCCTAAAGGATCGATCAGAACCTGTTCACACTCGTGTCTCCCACTGAGATGGATTGATTTCAGACCTGCCAGCAGCTTTTTACAGCACACGTCAGGAGCCCAATGGCAGATACAAGAAACGTCTTTTCAGAGGCTCGTCTTGTTTCTGGACGAGCTCGATCACCGTAAAATGAATTGTGTTCAAGGTTGTTCAACTTGAGTAGAACTGGATCACATGGTAGAACATGCCAGTTTCAAAGTACACAAGTCAAACGTCACCATAAAGGCAAAACGTTGGGCTTTCCATGGATTCCTTTGAAGACCCAGACCACAGCAAATAACGTTTAAACTGGAGAAATTCCATTTCCAACACAAATGCTGGGTGAATGTCTGACGCGGAATGATTTTTGCTTAACGCTGCTGCAGAAGGTGAAACCAGACTGAAAAGGTTTTATTCCATCCATCATCTTTACTCGCTTCTTCCTTTTCGGATCGTGGGGGTCGCTGGTGCCCATGTCCAGCCGTCGCAGTGTGAGAGGCGGGGACACCCTGGACAGGTCTCCAGTCCATCACAGGGACACATTGAGACAACCATTCAGTCTCTCTCACCTAGGGACAGTTTAGAGTTACCAGTCTAACATCATGTTGTGGTCTGTGGGAGGAAACTGGAGTACCTGGAGGAAACCCACGCATGCACGGAGAGAACATGCAGACTCCACCCAGAACGGCCCCCGGCCGGGACTTGAACCGGGACGACCTGCTCGCTGAGAGGTGGCAGCTTTACCAACTGCACCACCGTGTTGCCAAAACAGGTTTTATTGTTAACATTTTATTTCATTGTCAGCAGAGCTGACATTTGATCAAAGCAGGAAAATAGAAGCATAAAGCAGCAGAAAAACTATATATACTAAATATTTTGCTAATTTCAGCTTTTTTGGCCAATTTCCTAAATTTTGTGCTCAGTTCTGTGAATTTAAACCTAATTCAGCAAATATGTGTTCTTTCTAATTTAGGCTTGTTCTTCCATTTCAGCTAATTTCAGCTGTTTTTCAGCAGGTTACTCAACAGTAAGTATTCACACTGCATTTTTCTCTAGTTAGTATTAACACCAGAACCAAATTAGTTTGATCCAGCTGATAAATTGTGTTTCCACTCTTCCTCTCAAAGACGGTCCACTCCAGCAGACATTCAAGTAGCTGCGAGGCAATTATTTTTGTTGGCCAGCCGATGTGGGCACTGCAAGAAGCGGGCGAGTTGAAACAAGAAGCCGAAATAAATCCATGTAGCCGTTTCTGTGAAGTTGCTCCAATGTAATCAGGAAATAGAACTCGGAGAACGTCTCATAGCAGGAACATTACTGCAACCAACGATGAAGAAACTGCAGTAGAGCTAATAAACTCGACGATTTAAAAATAAAACGCAGAATGTTTTTAATGTTTAGTCAGTTGTTTGTAGAACATCTCACCTGAACGGAAACTTGATTTTTCTGGTATGAATCAGCAGAAACAGACACTTGGATGTGTTTTTGCGAACGTGATTTTTCTGGCTAAATAAAACCAGTTGAGTTGTCGAGGAAGCACAAACTAAACCATCTATCAGCTGCTATTCTAAAAAAATAAAACGCAACAGAATAAGGTCGTCACGTGATGCAAAAGATACACAGCAACGGACTGTTCGCGCTTCGTGTGTGGAACGATGAGGAACAAACAGACCTGTTGTGTTTGTGGACTACTAAAGAGCTGGGAATGACGACGCTCGCCAAACAAGACACTGGGCAGAGTGGGAGCCAGCTAATGGCCCAGTTTCCCCAAAAGCCTTTGTTCCTCAAAAACAAAAGCCCCGTCCTGCAGACAAAAGAAAACACACACACGCACACACACGCTGTTGTGTGGACCGGGCAAAACGTCCTCACAACAAAGGTCTAATATCAGTGGTAGGTCCTCACAATGTCATTAAGCCAAGCACACACACACACAGACTGAGAAGCAAAAAGAGAGGAAATATTAAATAAAAGAAAAATTAGATTTATAAAAAGACACAAGTCAAAACCAGAAGCTCAAGAATATTTTTGAGATGGTACTAAAAGACTAATTTAACTTGTTTAAAGTTGTTTAACCAATTAAACATGTAACAAAAGTTTGAATACACAGAAATGAATAATCCATCTTAGCTGGCTGTGATGCAGTGGGTTTCAATTATTTTAAAGTAATGAACAAAGATAAAACAGCATGACAAGTAACACGTTGGTGAAAGTTCAAGTATTGTTTAACAATTATTCTTATCCTTGAAATGTTTGCATGTGAGCAGCTCTGCAGTCCGTTTATCTTGTTTACTGATGATATGATGAACTTGTAAAAGTTTGTTTTATTCACTACATTGGTCATTTCATGGCACTGAAAATCACATTTAAAGAACGAAAACCAAAATTATGTTTCAAAGCACTTCAGTTGTTTTGAAGACATTTTAAAAAAATCTCCCAAAATTGTCTCCATTTGATTTTTTGTGTAGAAAAAATTAAAATGAATTGAATCCGTTGGCCATTCCTAACGAGAAGCCCCGGCTGTGTTATCGTTGTTTGAATAAATTACACTTTCTTGTGTATTCATATTAAACTTACAACTGAAAAAGTACGGTAATTTTCACATGGAGACGCTTCAAACCCAAGGTTATCTTTTCAACTTTAAAAACACTTCTGTCACTTTGGCCTGCAACACATTCAAAATCCACTTGACCACTTGCTCTTGTCGAGGGCGGACGCGTTCCCTCTCCTCTCCCTCCTCCCTTTGCTTTTGCTCTGTCCTGTTTGTGAAACTGCTTCGGAGCCTCTCTCTACATTTCTTCCGAAACATATTTTTTGCTATGGATCTGGTGAGCTGGTCTCTCAAAGCAACTGATAAAACTTTCTTGACGAGAAGACGAGCTTCAGGCGAGCCGACTTGCCCTGATGACGCACGTCATTGATTCTTGGGGCGATTGGAAGGTGACGTGTCTATCTCTGCTGTCCATCGAGGATGTTGAAGACGCATATGTAATTGGATTTATGAGAACAGGTTTCCTGCTTTTTGGAATCAGCTGGTTCCTGATTTATCAACAAACAAGGAAGTTGTCGGCAGCCAATCTGGCCCTGGTCAAGCTGTCTGCCTTATGTGATGGTTTGCTCCGTGCCTCGAGCACCCAGACTCAATTGCTTTGTGAAATGAACTGTAAGTTAGAAGTGATTCGTGAGAACCGCAGGCCACTTGTGGCCCCTAGGATTCGTTGGCAGGATGGGTCAGATCTCAGGGAATACTCTCAGGCACGGACAATCGGTGTGTCTACTTAATTTGGTCGTTTTTGTGCAAGGTTAAAGAGACATTACGGAGTCTGACAGTTTTGTTGTACATGTATTTTAGGGACCTTTCGAGGTTCTTTATCACCGTGTCTTGTAGATGCAGTTCAGCGTAACTACAAATCAATTATATTATGAGTGGCACAAACTTGGATTAATATAGTGCTTCAGTAAACATGATAAATGACATTTTACCAGTGGTCAAGCCTGCGTAGGTTGGATTTTTTAAACAAATGAACCTTTAAATGTCTCCTAATCCAACACTACTGGACAGAACAAATCCTAAAATATTAAAATCCAGGACAAAAAAAACCAGGCGGCTCACATGAAGCTACAGTACAACCTCTAAAACATTTATTTGACCTATTTACAGACAGTAGAGTCGGCTCGGCAGGGCAGGGCCGATTCCTATTGCAACGCCATTCAACGACTACAGCAACGTGGTGGTTTCAGAGAGGAAACTATTTACAAATGAATACTTTTATAATGGACAGAACGTAAACATGAGGAGAACGATGCATAAATTAATGTATTGACAGTTAGCATAAGGTGAAGGGTCCATTTAATCTTCCTAATTAAAAACAGAAATGTCGACGACAAAAGAAAACCTGCTTGTTTACCGTCAGTGCACATCGTTTAAAAACACTTTTACTCCCAGGTTTTCAATCCAGTGAGAGTTGATTTAAACTTCACTGTGTTTTTATTTTACGCATTTAGTTTATCTTTACAACTCTGTGGATCTATGTATTTCATGCTGTGTCGTTTGCTTGTTGTTTTGTTGCACAGCACTTTGGTTGGCCTTGTCGCTGTTTTTAAGTGCTTTACAAATAAAGTGGTATGGTTTACTTTTGGACCAGAGAGCATGAATGCACGTGCGCTGCAAACAGTTTATATGAGCGATAAAGAGAGCGATAAGAGAAATAAGAAGTGTGCAGGGCTGTTGTGATGCCATACGCACAATGCATGTGATAACTTCAATACATCATCTGCTTAAAACTGCAGTTTTTATTCTAGCTTGTGCACGGCTCCTGGAGAGTCACTTCTAGTGATTCAAAACATATGAACTGTTTCCTGAGCTGTGGCAGCTCAGCCGTCTTTAGCTCAAAACCAGACATTCTGAAACAATAAGGTGATGAAGACGAAGAGATGAAACATGAAGTCCAACGTGTACAGTCTTGTTTACGACTGGCTAAAGTGCATCGTTAGATTCTAAATATTTGGGGGTGCTAGAGGAGTGAAAATGGAACTGGTCTTCGCCAAATCCTCCCACGCTCGTCCTCAATTTTCAAGAAAAATAAAGAGAAAAATGTCCACAGCAAGTCCATTCAATAGTTCACACAGATACACACCACACAGGGAGAGTCCAGGGTCAAGTCTGAGCAATGCATCCATGTTTCCTCTCTTTGTGTCACGACACCTTTTTACCAAGTCTGTTTTCAACAGAGTGGATTGCTGGACGCAAAATAGTGCACAAATACCTTTGCATTTAAACTCACTGTTTGCCTCAACTATTTTCTACTAACTTGCGAAGGTCTTAGCTGCAATCTTTACATTTTTTGAGTGTATTGTTATATAAATTTGGGGTAAACACTTGTCTAATCATCATTAAACTGCAGAGTTTAGTTAATCAAATGATTTGTTCCCCTATGCGGTGGAGTGGAAGAAAAGAGGAGATCTAGATGCATTTTGAACCAAAGAACACTCAAAGTGACTTTAGCGGACCTCCAGTCCCACCAGCAGTCAGATGAAGGGAGGGTTGATGGTTCAACAGTTTCACACCGGGCATGTACCTGAGCTAGGTCGGCTGTCCTGTGCCTGTTGAGGCCGAGGCCGGGCTTTACTCAGCAGGGCTGAGGGAGTGACGTAACTGAGGCTGGGGCTGTTAATGTCACCCTCCCCCACAAGAGTCAGATCAGACAGGGTGTCCTCCTCCAGCATTTGGATCGATTCTCCCCCGGCAGAGTCCTGGAAGGTGTGCGGAGTGGCTCGGGACGGGTGGATGGGGGAGACGGTGGATGAAAACAGAGGAGGTGGCCGGGGTTTCCTGCCCCCTCCGCTCTCTGTGCTCAGCGCAGAGTCCAAGCTCTGCGACTGATGGCTCGCGCTGAGCAAGTGTGTGCTGCCTACGCTTCCCCGCTCGTTGCCGTGTGACTTGTTGCCTCGGCGACCGCTGCCAGGGAAGCTGCTGTTGTTGGGGTGACGGGAGTTCGGGGTGGAGCAACTGGGCTCAGGGTTGCACGGAGGAGGCGCAGTCTGGCTGTTGACCGCTGGCGACAGGCGCAGGAAGTCTGGGAGCTGCAGGTCGCTCTTGTTTAGCAGGCCTCGCTGGTCGTCGGCTCTGTTGCTCTGAGCTTTGGATATGAGGTCGAAGAACTCTGCAGGCACGCACCGTGCCACGTGCACACACAAGAACACACAAACATGTGAACACTGACACGCATGTGCGCATCCGCACAAAAGATCATCTCAGACGTTTAAAGTTACTCATTGCAAAGTCATGAAAACCGGGCGAAGAAAATTTCCTAAAACAAGAAACAAGACCTGAAACATTTGTTCTCTCCCATCGATGGTCAGTCTGAACTTTGCTCTTGGAAAATTTGTAAGAAAAAAGTGTGACCGGCTGCCAACTGCCGTGTGCGTTTGTTTACGTGCAGAGCCGGTGACTGAAATGATGCCAACAATCTTTAACTCAGATTTGTCAAGTAAGCAGATAAAAAGACAAGTCAGATTGTAACTACAGGCCTGTGGGTGTTTCTCCACATGACGCTAGGCCTGTCGCGATAAGCAATAAATCAATTGATCGCACGATGAATGAAAATTATCGACCTCGTTTTCATTTATCGGCTTTATCGTTTCTTCGCGTCTCTTTCTACTGAAGACACGGCTCAACTCCGGTGCGCTTCACTGACCCCTCTCTTTCTCTTCCGTTTTAACCATTTAAAAAATATATATATCAAATTTTTGGATACTTAAAAGCAGCTAAGCCGAGAAGCTAAGCTACGAGCTAAGCTAACAGCCTCCGTCTTGTCAAAGCTCCAAATCGCCTCCATCCATCCTTCGGTTCAAACAGTCTTGCGCTGCCATCCAGTGGTCAAACAAAGGTACTACATGCAAAACAAATTAAGACAAAACATTTCTTTTTAAAGTTGACAATTACTAATTATTGTCAAATTTCGATCAATATTATCGTTTATCGCAATAATTTCTGAGACAATTAATCGCCCAGCAAAATGTTTTATTGTGACAGGTCCATATGGCGCTCGATCTCCCTGCTTGAGCAACAGTTTTTACCCGTCATGTTTCTCATCTTTCTCTTATCCCTCAGCAGCAGATACATTTATATTACCGCCTAAATGTCTCCTTAAAGATATAATGTGCAGTATCAAACACACCACTAACAGCCAGTCTAATGTGGGTCAGTCACACGACTCGTGTGGACTCACGTGGACCCGCGTTTCAGAACTGCATCTCAACATATCTGGGAAACCACTGGAGCAAACTCTAACAGCATAGTTCCATATGTTTCAGGAGAACCTTTTCTTATGGTTGATTTCATGCTTTGCAACAAGTAACTTTAAAACGATAGATTAGTAAAAACACATTTAGTATTGCTTCAAACATGCAGCTATGCGTTTTATTCAGACAAGTCAAAGCTACATTCAGTACAAGCAAGGGGTGACTGTACATGTAGCTAGCTAGCTTTGAAAGCTTTTGGTGCTTCTGCAATTCTGCAAACAAGCCGAGGTGTTAGTTCGATCAAAGCAACGCAGCTACAAAAACAAGAGAGAAGGAAGAGGTTCAGTTTTTACCTTCAGCTTCGTCTATATTTATCTTTTTCTGCTTTCTTTTCTCTGGAGCCTTATGATGAAAGACAGAGTGGTTGGATAAAGGCTGGCCGCTTTTGTCAGGGCCTGATCCAGCCTGGCCATTTTCCCCATGGGGATGGGCTGTGCCGGCTTTCCTTGATGGCCTGTCCTCACCCTGGGGGCCACACGGAGAGCGGAGCGGGGCATTAGAGCCCTGAGGACTCAGGGTGCAGCAAATATGGGAGGAAGCATTGAGAACAAATGGGAACTGATGCTGCTGATGGTGAAGAGGGTCACAAATTGTACACAAAAACAATTTGATGGGAAGTGATGAAGATTTGATGATTGGGGCATGTGCACACCACCTGGCCAAAAATAATAATCTGGCACGTTTCAGAACTCAACCGTAACGATGATCCGACAATTTTCAGTCAGGTCATCTGGATAGTTTTTTGTTTTGTTTTGCTGAAACGTTTCACCTGATTTTGAACCAGTTTGACACGACTGTTGACGAGGAAGAGGGCCGGCACCGGAGGAGGGAGCGTGCCAAAGACACCATCTTAGCACCAACATAACTGGTTTGTTCCACTTTGGAGTAAGTTGTTGGGGGAAGAATCAGTTTTATGTTGTGCGTTTCCTTAACTGATGAAGTGTTCTGGATGGAAGGTGAAACATTTCAGCACAACCACAAAAAAAAAGAAACTATCCAGATGACCTGACTGAAAATTGTTGGATTGTATACCTGGATTACTGAGCATGGACTTTGTTGGTTTTGAACCTAACGACGATTGTTTTATATTTTTGCAGTTTGAATTTAGCTATCCCCATGACCTTTAACTTTTCACTCCAAAGTCTAAATTTAAGTTTTTAACATCGTTTGAGAAGGGAAGTGATGTCTACACAGCACTAAAGTAGCAAACTCCTGGTCTGTCTATACATTGTGCATGTGGTGGTTAATTTTAACTTTTTAAGACCGATGGGAGCTCTGTTGTGTACTTTAATTTAATTTAATGACCTTTTTTAAATGTTCTTGGTCACAATCATTACTGGTGGCATCTCACTGGGCAGAGACAAGCTGGTGAACAGCGTTCACAAGGGACTCTCCACAAAGTCTCGAGACGTTGGTCCTCAGTTTGTTGTCTATCCTGTCGCTTGAGTTTTGAACATGTTCATAATTTGTCTTTTCTCAAAGTAGTCACAGAGTCGCCAAGGTTGTCTTAAACCCGTTTTCAACTCGTCTGAATCTGGCACAAGTTTCCGACACGTTTCAAAAGCACTAGAGTTGTATTCCGACACTCGCATGTGATTAATTACTGAAAAACTCCAGGACAGAGAACAAACATGGAGGCAGCTCCCAAGGTACCAATTTCCTGCAGGATCAATAAAGCTCTATCTTATCTTATCTTTTATCTTAAGTGGGTGGAAGTGGGCAACAAAATAATGTGTGTGGCCAAGAATGCAATTTTTTTTAACCTGTGAATACCAAAACAGGCCGTGATTTTCTAAAACTGGCCGTTCAAACATGGCCGCACGGCTCACCGGTTACTTGGTTGCACTCAGAAGTAAATGACGCTGCAACATTTGTCTATTCAATGGGGAGGGGTGTACCGCAGGGGTCCATCCTCGGTCCTCTTCTCCTTTCATTTTACCTGCTACCACTCTGTCATTTTCCATAAACAGAACATTCCCTTTCATTTCTACGCTGATGACCGTCAAATTTACTTCCCTCTGAAGCACACAGGTGCACGTTCTGTTCAGCCTCTTCTTGACTGCCTGGCTGACATCCAGGACTGGATGACTTTAAATTTCTTAAGTTTCAATGTGAAGAAGACTGAAGTCATGCTCCTAATGGCACGGTCATGAACCACTGCATCGACCTTTCCTCTCTAGCCCCGTTAGAGAAACAAAGAGTCACTAATCTGGGAGTGATAATGGATCCTTCCATGAAACTTAACAGTCATGTAAACGATTGTCAAATCCTGGGTTTTTTTTTCAGCTGAGGCAACTGTCTAAGCTTAAGTCCATACTGTCCAACAAGAATCTTGAGACAGTGATCCATGCGTTCATGACATCCAGGCTCGATTACTGCAATGTGCTTCTTTTTGGAATCGGTCAGAACTCCATCACACAATTACAAGTGGTCCAAAATGCTGCAGTCCGATTTTTAACTGGTAAAAGCAAAAGAGAACACATTACACGGGTTCTGGCTTCCCTTCACTGGCTCCTGGTTCACTTTTCAAATTCAGTTCAGAATCCTTCTGTACGTTTTCAAATCTCTGAACAGTTCTGCCCTGTCTTATCTCGCTGATCTGCTGCAGCCATATGTCCCACAGCGATCTCTGAGGTCAGCAGATCAGATGCTCCTAGTGGTTCCAGGAACTCGTCGTAAGCTCAGAGGTGACAGGACCTTCTCTGGTGCAGGTCCAAGACTGTGGAATGAGTTACCACTGCACGTCAGGCAGGCTCCCTCCCTCACTGTTTTTAAGTCTCACTTAAAACTCACTTTATTCCCCGACTTCTGACACCGTGATTTGTTTTTAATCCTGTCTGTACTTTACAATTATTCGCCTTTTAGTTATCATCTTTTTCCATTTGGATCTAGGATTTTATCCTGTGTCCTTTGCTTGTTTGTTTTTCCTGTACAGCCTTTGGTTGGCCCTGTTGCTGTTTTAAGTGCTTTATAAATAAGTGGTACGGTATTTTGAGTTAACTAGTCTCCACAGCCCAGTGACATCATACTGCTTTGGCTTTGTTCTAATTAGATTTATTCTGCAAAGATTTATTACCATTTTAACGCTTTGAACAGCTTTTTCTTTCGGTTTTAGTTTAAGCGACCGTTTTAGCTCTTTGGTTTGCTACATGGAGACCAATGATGTAACAATCTTACACAAAAAATAAATAAAACATTTTTATAACGAGCTTTCTTCCATCACGGCTGGCTGTTTAAGAATGAACAGCTCCTCAAAGTGTTAAATATTGTTTAAATTAACCGGGTTCCATTAACACTGTAGTACTTTATTCATTATAAGTTGTGTTTTTTTTGGCCAGACGGTGTTTTAATGATTTGAGGAAAAAATATGGAGTGGCTCAAACACAGGTGGGATGTTCCATTCAGGCAGCTATAATGTCCATTTTGTGTGCTAAGCATCATCAACGCACACCACAACACCACAAGGCCCAACTACAACTACTTAAAGCTGCACTTCTACAACTAAAGAAGAAGAAAAAAATGAAGCTCCACAAACAGATTCTGGAATCAGCCAAAAGGGAGATCAAGTCAAATCACTACTTCAGATTAAACCCCAACAACTAAAACAAAAGGAAGAAAATCCAACCGATGATCTACAACTAACAACCAACCGAACGTCTTTCGGTTGCGCAGAGGGGGTTCTGACACCCGGTCAACGTGTGAAACTGGGCGTGTAGGTGTTAAAAGAAAGGAAAGACCAGAAAGAAAAGTTGATGATGCATTCAGCCCGAGGCAGAGCACAACAATGGAACATTAGGAGCTTCAACAGCTGGTCGTACCACAGCGTCCAGATGTTTAACACGCAGCACTCAGACACACACGGGCGACTGAAGACAGCCGGAGACACTTAGCAGCGTGACAACATCAACCAGGCAGGAGTGACGTTCGTGGGTTAAGGGACAATCCAGAGCGGGAGAGAAAGGTGAGTACGAGGAGCTCTTACTGTCGACGACTGGTTCCTGCTTGAAGAGGCTGGAAGGTGATTCTTAGAGGGAGACACTTTTTGTTTGTCTGGGGAATCGAGACGAGGGTCATTGTGGAGAAACAAACACAAAGAATCAGGATAAACACGTTGCTCACAGAACTGTGAGGTGCAGCCACGATCCAGGAGGAAGTTGGGACGTTGTGAGAAACGTCAATGAAAACGGAGCGAGACGTTCTCCATCCCATCGACAGAATTCATTCACAGAGAAACAGAAACTATTTCAGTTTACGAGATTTACATTTAAAGTCACAACATCTTGTCCCAGTCATTTTAAATTGGACATCAACTACATCCATCCATCT